GTCGGTTTTGATCCTTTTTTTATTTCTTTATTTTTAGAGACAAGGTTGTACCTGGGGAGCAGTGCCTGATGACAGAAAGGCTGTGTTATAGAAACTGCTGTTTCCCTAACAAGACATTTTTTTCTTTTTTAACCAACCTAAAAGAAGTACACAAATAATAATGAGAGCTTACCCCATGGAACTGAAAAAGAGAGCTACGAACCCAGACCCAGCTAAGTGGGGGGGGTAGAATTTTCATCTGTCCCTCTACTGCCAGGACGTGGTACCCACTTATACAAACGTGTGAGCAACTTGAAGTGTCCTGTCAAAATAAGAATGTGTTATGAAATGCTAAATACCCATTAAAAGAAAGAATCGTAAAATCTTTTTTAAATTTTTTAATTGATACTGGTTGAAATAACATTTGGAACATGAATTTAAAATAATTCAATTATGCTCGACGAGTTGATGGGTGCAGCATGGCAAACTGGGCACAATAATTATCATATGTAACAAACTGCACGTTCATGCAACATGTAACCCTAAACTTAAAGTATAATAAAATACAAAAAATAAATAATAAATAGTGAGTTAATGAAAAAAAAGCTTTATCCACCAACTTTTAAATGTAACCTATTAAGAAAATTTAAAAATTACATAATGGTCTGCATATATTACGCTACTGGACAAGCCCTGATCTTGATAATGTCAACACCTTAGTCTCTGAATGTTCTACTGCATTCTTTGAATAAATACTCCCTGGGTTCTTTTTTCCGGAACCCCTGTGAATCTTGAGTCCATCCTGCTGCATCTTTTTTTCCTTGTTATTTTCGGTCTTTCCTATCTTGCCACTACTTCTGCCAATTTTTAATTTACAAGGGCTCTTCGTTTTTGTTTGTGCCTTTCTGTAGCATTCTGATCTTATATTGCCAATGTCATGTTTTCTCCTACTTCTTTGAGTATATTGATTATAGTTTTAACTTTTAAAAAGCTTTACTGCAGTATTTCTGTTTCTTGTGGATTCTGCTTTTCTTGTGGTTTTTGTTTGTGTTGTTTTTAACCTCTCTCAAATACCTAATTATTTTTGCCCATCTTTTCACATTTAAGAATTAATCACTTCAGGCCAGGTGTGGTGGTTCACGCCTGTAATCCCAGCACTTTGGGAGGCTGAGGCGGGTGGGTCACTTGAGGCCAGGAGTTTGAGACCAGCCTGGCCAACATGGTGAAACCCTGTTTCTACTCAAAATATAAAAATTAGCTGGGCGTGGTGGCGCATGCCTGTAATCCCAGCTACTTGGGAGGCTGAGGCATGAGAATCTCTTGAACCTGGGAGGCAGAGGTTGCAGTGAGCTGAAATTGCACCACTGCACTCTAGCCTGGGCAACACAGTGAGACTCCATCTCGAAAAAAAAAAATAAGAGTAAATAACTTTAAAGCTAATTAATGTGAAGTTCTGAAGGATTTGATAACTATATGCTGATAAAATGAGGCATTGACTCTTTCATTAAAAGAATTTCAGGCCAGGTGTGGTGGCTCATGCCTGTAATCCCAGCACATTGAGAGGCTGAGGTAGGAGGGTTTCTTGAGGCCAAGAGTTTGAGACCAGCCTGGGCTATATAGCTAGACTGTCTCCACAAAAAAAAAAAAAAAAAGAGCTGGGTGTAGTGGCATACACCAATATCCTGGGAGGCTCAGTTGGGAGAATTGCTTGAGCGCTGGAGTCTGAGGCTATAGAGAGCTGTGACGGCACCACTGTATGCCAGCCTGGGTGGCAAAGCAAGATGGTCTCAAAAAAAAGGCAAAGGAGTTCTTTTCAAACGTATCAGTATTTATAGATCTTTTTGCAGATACCTGTCAGCAGAAGATGGGGTGAGCATTTGGGATCGGTGTGTATGTGAATACTGCATTCTGGAACTGGAAAAGGAAGTGGAGCAGAGAAGATGTAGAGACGGTCTCACTCTTCAGTTTATAGGGTTTTATTACTGAGAATTGTTCTCTCGGTGTCTGTTCATTTCATGTCTCTCCCCGTATATTAATAAATGTTTTCCCGGTGTCCACATGTGTGGGGTACGCCCATTTAACTGGCGCCCCAAATGAAAGACCCTGAAGGTTCTAACCACACCATCTACTTTAAATCAGTCTCCTCATTTTCAGCTTTAAGCCTCTGTTGCTACTCAGAACCACCATGACTTGAACCGGTGAACAGGGTTCTGCGAGCAGGAATTCTCTCACTTCTTACTGGTATCCTCCTTGGCAAACATTTTAGGTCACAGTTTCCCCCCCTCTGCCAAATCGATTACCACTCTGTTTATTGTCTTCAAAACATTAGATTAAATCTCTCATCCATGCCTGTTGCTTTGTACTCATGTTCCTATGATTTTACATCCTTAAAAAATTCCTTTACTGTTGTTTCACTAGAGTCTGAGAGAAAAGAGGCAGAACATGGATGGCCAATTAGTTATGTTAAACTAGAAGTCCTGATACTTGAGAAAACAAATCAGACAAATTATATTTTTCCCTGAGTTTTTTTTATTCTTAAATTTTTATGTAAAATTATCTTTCTTTTTCTTTTAAAAGAGGTGTGATTCAGGATAGCTTTTCTAATTTAACTCTGCTTCTGTTGTTTTCCATTAGTATAGTATTCACAGATAAGGGAACTTTCTTTTTCAGTTCTTGTTGACTTTTACCTGGGCCTTCTCCTTCTCTTTCCTATTCCTTGGCGTCCCTCTGCTGCTCACTTCTAATTCTACTCTGCCAGTTTCTCCTTATTGTGGGCCATTCTCCTGGAAGTGGTTCTTGGCTCAGTTTGAAAAACACCCAGGTGCTACATTGCTTCAGCACTTTAAATCTTAACACAGACTGCGGCTATTGGATTGGGCAAAACTGCTTTTTAGCGTTGCTTTCAGCTTGTCCTGTTGTACTTTCAATGCATGCTTCTTGGCTGTGCTCAGGCTTTCCTGTGATCAGAGTGGGTCACATTTCTCTTGCTTCCCTTTGCTTTCTCCTGCACACAAGCTAAGACCATGGAGGTCTTATAACCCTTACTGCTTTGTCTTTACTCTCTTGTATCTTGAAGTCCATGAAGATATCTTGTCACCTGGTTTTATGTAAATGTTTGTGGGTTTTTGGTTTTGTCCTCTAGTCACGTTTTTAATGTTTATGTGTACATTCAGAAAAATTAAAAAACTTTGCCATCATCTTCCTAGAATCCTCCCTTAACTTCTTTGTGGAAAAATTTAAAAATATATATTCTATGGGTATTAATCCTGTATTCGTTGAAGCTAGGGCACCTCTGTTCCTTTAGTCTCAAATGGAATAGTTTCAGTTTCAATAGCACTTTGCCTCTTTGAGTAACTTTTATAAAATTCTTATGTTTGATTTATTTTCACTATAATTTGCCCTCAATACCTAAATGTTATTTTTTTTCTACTTTTCTTATTGAATAGCATTTATTTATTGGGTATATAAGCAATATTATTTGAATAAATCATCTTCTTGAAGCGGGAGTACCAGAACCAAAACCAATTTAGCTAATATGTATTAAACTTACACAGATAGAATGTTCTGTTAGGTGCAGGTGATACAGCAATGTAATAGTTATAGATATTGGCCATATTTTTTTATTTATGAATTCAATTAGTAAAAAATCATAGGAAAAGGAAATTATTTGGATATACTCTTTAAGATTAAACAAGTGTATGAGCAAGGCACTGTTAGGTTCTAAAGATATAATGGTTTTTACAGGACACATTGTATTTCTTAGTGTGTTGTGAGGGGACAGCTGAGTAAAACAGGCAATTACCATGTTTATTTATTGGAAATGCATCATAAGGGTAAATGCAGGAGCAGCCAGCTTTTTACAGGAAGGAAAAGGGAGGAAAAAGGATATGGTTCATATTTTGGAGAATAGAGAATCCCCTTTTGATTTTTTTTTCAGTGCAACTGCAAATTTTTTTAAACTTGGATAATTTACTTTATTCTCTACAGAATAATCTCATATTTTATTCTTTCATTTGACCTACTGGAGAGCAATTTTGCGTTTTGTTTTTCTTGATACAGTTCCAACTGAGGTTGAACCAAGTGATTCCATCAGAAATTTAGATTACAAAATTGAAAAGGAGCTGAGGAGAAAATTACAGCATAAATTTTTGTTTTTGTTTTTTGCTTCATATAATAATTTTACCTCACATACTTAGGGAAAGAAAACATCTGTGTGTATGTGTGTGTATTAACAAGTTAACTGTAAATTTACAGAGTATCTAAAATGGAACTAGGCTAAAGTTAATATTTTTCTTTCTAGATCCCATACAGTGGTCCACAGACCAAGTCCTGCATTGGGTGGTTTGGGTAATGAAGGAATTCAGCATGACCGATATAGACCTCAGCACACTCAACATTTCGGGGAGAGAATTATGTAGTCTCAACCAAGAAGATTTTTTTCAGCGGGTTCCTCGGGGAGAAATTCTCTGGAGTCATCTGGAACTTCTCCGAAAATGTATGAAATTACAGTTATTTCTTTACATTGTAATTTAAGCTGAATTTTATTTCCTTACAACTTTGTTTTCATCTTGTTTATTGATAATGATAAGTAATAAGCAGTAATAATTAACATTTATTTACTGTATAATGCTATGCTGAAAGCTCTATATGTTATCTCATTTAATTCCTATAGTAATACCACAAATCATTACTTTGCTTATTTTTTAGATACGAAAGTGAGGCTTTGAGAGCCCCACAAAGTCACAGCTAGGAAGTGGCAGAGCCAGGATACAAGCCCAGGCTAACATTAGAATCCAAGTTCTTAAATCAGGTGCTGTGCCCTACACTTGGCCCTCTTCATATATTCTATTTGTTGCCTTCTGTTTGATCAGCTCTTACATTTACTGCTCATCTAGAAACTGAAGAGATCATTTGTTTGCAGGTGGCTTCCTTCCCATTCTCTTCATTATTGATGAGATTAAATCTTTGTTCAAGTCTTTACAATTAACTGAATGGAGTCTTAAGAGGGAAGGAAGTGTATGCAACCACCTTTTTGAATTGGAAGCCACCGGTTATAAGTTTTTCCACTTACAACTTACAAGGCTTCAGACATTAATATGATTCAGTGACCATATAAAGAAATTGGACCAGCACTTTGGAAGAATGAGACAGGCAGATCACTTGAGGTTAGAAGTTCAAGACCAGCCTGGCCAACATGGTGAAACCCTGTCTCCACTAAAAATACAAAAAAATAGCTGGGCAAGTTGCTGTGTGCCTGTAGTCCCACCTACTTGGGAGGCTGAGGCGAGAGGATAGCCTGAACCTGAAAGGCAGAGGTTGCAGTGAGCTGAGAGCGCGCCACGACACTCCAGCATGGGTGACAGAGCAAGAGTCTCAGTTGGAAAAAAAACAGAGAGAGAAATTTGGAAACTACTTGGCTGTCCAAGAAAACAAGGCACAAATATAAATTATTTTTGCTTGAATATTAATCCATCTTATATTTCAGTGACTGTTAAGACACTGAATCAAGCAACCCATTCCTTGACAGTTTTGCATATCAGAAATGCTAGCCGGACCCACATATTTTTCAGAACACATGAATACAACAAACTCTGACTTTGCTTTTGTATCAGTTATGGATGAAAATGTTACTGATAGCATTTTGTTCTATTATATACCCAATAACGGAAGAGCTCTGGTGGAGGGATTTTCCACCTTAATTCAATGCTTGCAGTTTTCACTCAAGGTGCTTTCTCTGGCCTGGTGCAATGGCTCACTCCTGTCACCCCAGCACTTTGGGAGTCTGGGGCGGGTGGATCACTTGAGGTCAGGAATTGAAAGTGCTTTCTCTGCTGGTGAATAAGAAGTGAGCTCTGGAGAGAGGCATTTCCTCATTGTTTATAATTTTATTCTTGTAAGGATTCGCTCAGATTTTTTTTTTAAGTATCTATGATACTAAAAGACTTAGTATATTCATTGTATTTGCAGCATTTATTTCCAGTGTCTGTTCTTACTAGATAAATAAGTTGAATGTCTTGGTTGAAGCTTTGTCCTTGGTTTCACAGATTTCCTTCCCTGCAGAGGTTTTGAAATGAATAAGGTAAATTCTGAATTGTGAAACATGTGAGTCATGTTTATTGAAACACTTTCTTGTAAGAAATCTCAAGAACACAACAAGGATAGTGCATAGATGATAGTTTCATTTTTCCCAAATCCACGTTTTTTCCAGTCTCTCCCAGGTCAGCTCTTCGTTGTGGCTGTCTCTTTCTGCTTCTCTTATTGCATCTCAAACTTTAAAGTTCATTCACAGGTTTTTCCTAGAACAGAAGTCAAAGGTGTCTTGTATATCTTTCCATTTCCATGCAGTTGAATGAGTCTTCCTCAGAAAAGCTCTGCTCTGGAACCGTTGCTTTGTCTTTTAAAGCAACAAAGTCCCACAGCCTAGATGAGTGTCTCACAGAATTTCTTGGTGATCCAGCCATGGTTCTTCACTTAGCCTGGGCAGGGAATTCCTGTCTGACTTGGAAATGTAGTGCTCAGTTGAGAATTGAGAGATGGGCAGGATGATGTGTAAGGGTATTTCTAACAGACTTTCTAGAATTCACAAGTCTCACTTCTCAGAACAGGGTTTTTTGAGCACAATGCAGTAATCTGGTCCCTTCTGTAGAGAGAAGTCTGCAGCCTCTCTGTGAAAGGCACTGATTCTGGGACAGAACCCAGCCTCTATTATCCATCCTCAGTGATCTCTCAAGAAGCAGCAGTACTGAAGAGGTAGAGCTCCTTCTTCAGATATTTGTATTAGATTATTCACCTGAGCGGCCACCTGCCTGCAGTCCCTGCTCTGCTGAAACTTCATCCAAGTCCTACTATACATGGGAGATAATTAGGAAATGTTCCAGTACTACCAGTTCCATGATGTCCTTCTCGGTGTGAATCTCTGTCTTCTGTCACCAAAGGCATAGGAAGTTCTCAGTTTGCTGAGGGTTTTCTTTAGGAAAAATAATTGTTTTATTCCTGTAGTGTCTAATGTTTCTTCATAAAATGGCTCCATATCGCCCAGGGCTTTGCCTCTCAAGACTGCTTCCTTTGTGCCTAGCAAGGATTTGGGAGTTTCAGGGAGGAATATGATATTCAGGGTGCCTGTACTCTGAAGAGATTGGTCTTGGACCAGTCTTTCAAAAGCTTTTTTTCCCCCCTGTGGTCTGCCTTCTGTCTTGAGAGCTTCCAGGAAACAAACCAAACTCCAATCTGAGAATTAGGACGTAGAAGGTGATTTTACAAGTTGATTACGCCTGTGCTGTGGGATGGTGACGCTTTCGTTTGCCTCTTTTGAGGCTAATTCCTTTAGTCTTCAAATGAAACGGTTCCTCTTTGAGGAACTTCTATAAAATTCTGAGGAAAATTTACTACAAACATAAGGTACGTTTTTTGTTTTTTTTTTTTCAAGAGACAGTTCTGGAGGAGAATGCTCAGAACTAGGAGTCTGGATAAAACAGTGAGGTTGTCAGTTGACTGAAAAGTAATTGTTTTGTGCACTGTGCTTCTTAAAAACATGTTTCTTTAATCCTCACAATAACCTCATGAGGCGATAAGTATAGGTGTCTAATTTAAACATGAGGAAGTTAATGTTGAAAGAGGTTGGTAATTTTACCAAACTCATATAGTCAGTAAGAGCTGAGAACTGAATCCAGATCTGTCTGAAGCCAGTCCCATATAATTGTTTTAAGTCCTCAGTCTTCAGACCCTCAAAGCTCCCATCTGGTAGGATTCAGACCTGTTTTTACTTGCCCAACCTTTTCCAACTCTACGTGTCTGGAACTGGGTCCTGGCAAGGCACCCTTAGCAGAGTCTTCTTGGGAGCCCAGGCCTCAGTACCCAGAATGATTGCTGGAGGGTCTAGTTTCATTTTTGAGAGGCATGCAATTTATGGTGGGCACAAAGTAGGCTGAAGTAATAAGAGACTGGGATGTGCAGTTCTTTGAGAGGTAAAGAATAACATTTAAGTGGGTAATAGCAACAGATAAGTAATGAATGGTTCTGTAAAGGCTTATCTTAGGACCTTTTATAATATTTTTATATGGGGAGCTATATTTTTAGATGTGAAATTATTTAGTTTAATTGAGACATTTAGGACCGCTACAATTGTATTGAAAATTTGCTATCTTTAAGTAGAAGCTTTATAAAGCTTAAGCAGCTTTAGTCAAAAGCGGATGTTACAACAGATAATGGGAAGGAGGCCTTTTTGGTGGAGATCCATATCTAAATAATTTCATTTTGGTGTATATTTTATCTTTGATATGATCTTGAAGATTTCCATATTTTACATGGTTTTATACAGATTTTGATACAAATATTTACATTTAGAAAACGATAGTTCTCTGCAGAACTTTACTGAACACTAAAAGACATTGGAGCTTTTCCCTGTGTTACTTCTCTTAAAGGTATCTTTTCCTTTTAAAGTGACTATCAAATATTTTTAAGGTTTTTATGCCAGTAAGTTTCAGTTCAGTGTTTTGGTTTTAATTGTGGAGTTCTTTTTTAAAAGAATCATGTTTATTAAGTTGAGTTTTATTGGATTGCGGTTTTTGGTTTTAAATTTTAAAAAATTGTGTTTTTTTCAGATGTATTGGCAAGTCAAGAACAACAGATGAATGAAATAGTTACAATTGATCAACGTGAGTATTCGTATCTGTATTTGCCCTTTTATTGAAGAAATGTTTATTTGATACTGCAAGGTAGTAAAAAGGAAAATTATTTAAAAAAATTTTTTCCCACATACAAAATATCTTTTGTTTTGTGGAATGAGAGCTCAACACAAGTACTTCATAAGATCCACTCATGTCGTGTTTTTAAATGATACGATTCACATAACAGCTTGCTTTGTATCTGAGTTCACTAAAATTTGTTAGGACATCATTTGTTTCATCTTTACTGACTGTTAATTACCAAGTTGTAAGAACAATTCTAACCACATTCATACCTGACAGAACTTTCATGCCTGATAATAACTGGATATTGGGTGGCATCCAATTAAAATATCAGTATAGCTTGGATACAGCAAAAAAAATATTCAAGTGTCCAAAACAAACTTGAGGAGTTACACTGGGTTTGAAATGAAGAAAAAAGGCAAGTTAAAATAGGAAAATGAATAGTTTTCATTTGGTGAGAGTTGCAATCAAAAGTATACATTTGTATACATTCTAATTGATCATCAGTCCCATGTGGCATTTTCCGAGGTTTTAAGAGTCTACCAGGCCAAACCCTTCACCGCCTTCACTACTTTTGTTTGGCTTTTCCCCTTTCTTTTCTCTCACTTTGCATTCAGCTTTATTCTTTACCTTTGGTTCATCCATATTGGGTACTGTGCATGCTGGTCTAAAAGAGTCTTTTTGTTTCTCTTAGTATCGGTCTCCATTTTCATGTCATATTTTCCAACTTTTACCTAACACTGCATTTTCTCTTAGCATGTTTGGGTTTGGGTACCACCACAGTTGCTATCTCTTAAACATTTTTCATTAAAACATTACTGTCTAGTTTGAGAATCCTTTTAAGCCTGCTGAGCTCTTTGGGGCATTCTTTTCCCCTTACGCCATAAGCTTTTAGCCATGTTTTACCTGAGATACGAACACACACGTCATAAGATCATCCCAACCGGCTAAAATTTTTAATGAGGAATTTGAGATACACAAAGAAAGTGTAACACCTGTGTACATACAAGAAATAAAATTTTATATACCAAGTTTACCTGTTGTAGATTTCATTTTCCTCTTACCAGGTAATTGACTATCTTGAATTTTATTACTGTCTGTATATTTTATATTTTTACCACCTATGTAACCATAAACACTGTATAGCATTGTTTTGCACATGTTTAAACATTTTCTGTAAAATAATACATTGTACATATTCTTTTATAACTTCATCATTTGAGAATTACCCATGTTGATACTTGTAGCTGTTTCATTTTCATTGCTGTATAGTATTTTTTAAATGCTGTGAACATCATTGAGTGAATATTTGTAAGAACATGTGTGAGATGTTCGTGTCATAGGGTTTCTAAAATCCTTTCAACCTTACTCCAGATACTGCCAGAGTCTCAAAGTGGTGGTATGAATTCTCATTTGTCCACATTTTCTACAACATTTGACAAACTGTTTTTATGAACAAATGTTTTAAAAACAAACATGTTAAAATACTCTGTCTAATGTGTGTGCATCACTTAAGTTATTTCCAAACAAGAATACTAGCTCTTACTAAGATGCACAAACTGTAATGCAAGCATTATACTGTACCATCTGACCTTTTTTGTTATTTTGTTTGAAATTGTGGCTTGAGGCTTTTTGTAGTAAAATACTTTCTTGGGGTAATTCATAGGGCATTAGTTAAACTGATAATGTCTTTCAGTAATTTTTTTTTCCCCTTGTCTGTCTTTGCAGCTGTGCAAATTATTCCAGCATCAGTGCAATCTGCTACACCTACTACCATTAAAGTTATAAATAGTAGTGCGAAGGCAGCCAAAGTGCAAAGAGCACCGAGGATTTCAGGAGAAGATAGAAGCTCACCTGGGAACAGAACAGGTAGTTTTGTATTTTCTTGTATTTGTAAAATATATCTATCTAATTAGGTATATTTTGTTTTATTTCACTGTATGAAAAATGTGAATTTGGACTATTGCTCTGGTAGTATTTAGACAGCATTTCTAGAAAAACAAAAATTATTTTTGCCATGGCTGAGATTTGAACCAAAGAACCAGTTTGTTGCCTTTGCCTTGGGCTAATCTATAACACTATAGCCAATGCTTTGTTCCTCTTATCAATTTAGGAAACAATGGCCAAATCCAACTATGGCAGTTTTTGCTAGAACTTCTTACTGATAAGGATGCTCGAGACTGTATTTCTTGGGTTGGTGATGAAGGTGAATTTAAGCTAAATCAGCCTGAACTGGTGGCACAAAAATGGGGACAGCGTAAAAATAAGCCTACAATGAACTATGAGAAACTCAGTCGTGCATTAAGGTAAGCCTTTATTACTGTTTTTTCTGTTATCAAGCCTTTCTAAAAAATAGCTGCTGCTTCTAGATGTAAGCATTGTTACATAATGATATTAAAAACTTGTTCATGTTTTCTTTACAAATTAAAAAACCTTTTTAAAAAGATCTTAATAATTTTGAGGTACTTTTTTTACAAAATTACTCTAAGATTGTTTTTATCTGATTTGAAAGCATATAATACTGTCAAAAAAATGTTTGATTTTTGAGATTTTTATTATTTGCATAGGTGAATTGAGTGTTAATTTTTAATGAGTAAGCAGAAACTGTCCTCTGTTTTTACAATTACATGCAAAATATTGACCTGTTTTCTATACAATCTGCCTAAATCTGGATATCCAATCTTTACATTGATACAAACTCCATTAGTAGTATAAGGTTTTTCGACTGAAATTACTATCAGAAATTATACCTACTACAGTGATGGAAATTCAGCAAGTACATTTAAGTATCTGAGAAGAAGGATATATAAGAATATCACAGAATTATGTCTGATTTTTGGGGGGATTGAATATAGTAAAGTAGTTCTGCAATTTACGAGTTTTTCTAAATAGCATGCTTTTACTGCTTCTTGTTTCAGTTGGCCATTTTCACACTGAAAGATCATAATTTAGCTCACACACACACTCTCCCTTCCCCTTTCCATCCCCTCATCTCAATATCCCAATATGATTATACAGAAATTTTGGTTCAGCGAGTATCATTGTTAGAGTATTATGGCCATGTAACTATTACATAGTTGACCGTTATTATTTTTCTTTTCCTGAATGACCTGTTGTTTCTCAGAGTTCGTAAGTAACTAAAATGTTTAGTTTTCAATATGCTTATCATTTTTCAGTCTCAAACACATTGCCAACTGTCTAAAGATTCTTTGTGTATAATCAGAACTAAAGCTGCCATTTTTGAGAGTTGATGCAGATTGTATACATACAAGACCCCTCAAAATTACAGCGGTAATTTTGATTTTTCAAATCAAACTAAGTTTTTTCATAGAACTTGAAAAGATAATTGTAAAATTTACATGGGACTATAAAGTACCATGGTAGTCAGTAGTCAGGACACCTGAAGATTAGCAAAGTGGAAAGACTTGTCCCACAGGATATTGAGACTGACTCTAAAGTTACAGTAATAAGACAGTTATGCTATTTGCTCAAGACAAATAGGCCATACAGTAGAATAGGGAGCCAAAATAGAACCAGGAATACGTAAGCATTTGATTTAAAGAAATGGCAGTGGGGAGAAAACATATGAGGAAACAATCTGCTTTTGAATCATCAGTGCTGGGATAATTTACTATCCATCTTGGGAGAAAAGTAAAAGTTGACCTCTTCCTTATGCCGTACCAAAAATCAATTCCATGTAGCTTGTAGCTCTACCTGTAAAAAGTAAAACAGAAAAGGATCTAGAAATACTTTCATAACTTCTGGTGGTAGGGAGACATTTAAGCAGAATCAAAAGGACTGATTATAAAGGGAAAGATCAATAAATTGGACTATATTTAAATTAGGAACTTTTGGTCGTTGAAAGCCTTATTAAGAGAGCCACACATGTCTTACAGAAGTATGTAGAATATCTAACCAATTCTTACGAATCAGTTTTTTAATGGGCAAGAGACTTGAATAGACACCTCAGGCTAGAGATTATCCAAATGGCCAATGAATATATGCAAAGGTGTACAGCCTCATTAGTATTCAGAGTAATGCAATTGAAAACCATAATTAAATGGTACAACACACCCCCTAGAGTGGCTACAATTTAAAAGATTGCCAGAACTAAGTGCTGTTGAGGATATGGAGCAGTGGGAATGCTTCTACCCTTTTGATAGGAATGCAAATTGTAACAGTTGCTCCCCTAAGCAACTGTTCGATATATATCAAACAGAAGTGTACTTGTATGCCCATACACATGTTCATAGATTATTTGTAACATCCAAACCCCAGAAACAACCAGATATCAACAGTAGAGAAGAAATCATTTATGGTATATTCATACAAGAATACCTTGCATTCTTGAAAACTGAGCTCCTGGTACAAACGAAGACCAGTGAACCTCACAAACATAATGTTCAGTGACAGAATCCAGACCCAAAAGACCAAATTCTGTATGATTACATTTATTCAGTAAAGTTCAAAAAACAGGAAAATTAAATTGCAGTATTTAGGGATGCATGTTTGGGAGATAAAAATATAAAGAAAAAGCAATGAAATTACTGTCACGGTGCAGGCTTGTGTTTACCTTTTAGAGCCAGGATTTGGGGAATGATTGGGAGGGGACATAAAGGGGATTCTAGATGCTGACAGTGTTCTGTTTCTTGAGTGATACTTAACAGGGGAATGAATGTTCACTTTGTAATAAGTCACTGAACTGTTCACTTCTGTGTCCTTTTGTGTGATATATTTGCAATTAAAAAGTTTTTAAAAAATACAAGTTCAAAAAAAGGGAAGAAATCATATCCATGAAATACAGGTATTGTGTATTCTTTCTACTTTCTTCATTTCAGGGAGGGAACAAGTGGAATAAATGCTACTATATACAGTTGTGTGATGCATGTGCTAGATCAAAGGAAGTATTCAGTAAAATTCAAATTTATGTGTGTATATTCTTTTTTATCACCTCTTACCAAGAAATATAATGCCAACTCCTAGAACTGGCATAATCATAGAATATATTTTCCTCCTAGAATTATAAAACCTCTTTTCCATTTTCCTTTTTCCCCATGTATAGTCTTACATATTAATGTAGAAATTTTTTAAAGCAATTGAAACGCCTACAGCATTTTTAACTGGATGGCAAGGAATTGTTGGTTTGTGAGCTGAGATCCAAATTCTATACTAATGTAACTGACATAAATGGAAACTACAAGACTGCACAATGTGTTATATCTCTTACTGGGAAATCAAACATAACTATTTTCCTTTAACTATTCTGGAATTAGGGAGATGACAGTTTCCTGTATATAGGTCAGTCGTTTCATTAATAGACTCTTGATTAAGCCAAGTGACTTTTATCCTGCTAAATGTGATAGTTTATATCAGTGGTACTTTTGCAAATAGTTGTTTCTTTTGTAGTAGTCCTTTGTCAGTGGGCAGTGCAATTTTAAAATAAGGGCTTTGCATTCTGCCAGTCCTGGAAAGAGCTTGACTTGCCTCTTTTTCCTGTTGTTGGAATTAGCAGTACATAGTGTTTGTTTTCCAAAGGAAACATAAATCCAACTGTTTGCATCTCTGTAGAATGCAGCAGTAAACCAGATTTCTAGAATGACTGCTGGAACTCTGCATGTGTACGTTTAGAAATATTGTCTCTTTACAATGCCCTTTTCCTGTTTTTCTGTATCCTCTGTTTCGTTTAGACCTTTTCCTTAGACTTAAAGCTACCTATTGGGCTTGGATAATTTATCTGAAATTTGGAAAGCATTTACATAGTGAAATAATAAAGATGAAATCATGACTTCATCATATAGGATTCTTTACAAGACAGAAAAGAAGTGGAATATATTAGTTTTTTCATATTAACGACTTTTATTAACATAGCTTCTATTTTGTAGAGGGCTGTGTGCCAATCATTGTATACTAAGCACTTTACAAAGATTATCCCTTTAATCCTCAACAGTGATATGAGGGTGTAAGCACTGTTCACCTCACTTTATAACTGAGGAATAAAAGCTTTGAGAAAATGACTCCTGTGGTCTCAGAAATGTTAGGTGTTGAATCTCAGCTCTGACTCCAAAGCTCTTGTTCTTAGGCTCTTCTGCTGCTCTAAAGGTTTGTTTTGTTTAATAATTACTTTTAAATCAAATGTTTCATCCTAATTGTTGAAAATATGCTTTGAAAGTTTATAGAGTTTTGGAGTACTGAGCGTTGAAATTGTAGTAAATGATGTTTGGATGTGTTTCATTTGATAGTAGCATTAAATATTCTATATAACTTCAATATTAACTGCTATTGTGGTGGATGCAGTACTCTACTAGGCTTCTGCTTACGGAATAGTCTGTAAATTATTCTAAGTCTCATTTATTTTTTATGAAGTCTAATTTTTTTTTCTCTTTTTAAAGGTATTATTATGATGGGGACATGATTTGTAAAGTTCAAGGCAAGAGATTTGTGTACAAGTTTGTCTGTGACTTGAAGACTCTTATTGGATACAGTGCAGCAGAGTTGAACCGTTTGGTCACAGAATGTGAACAGAAGAAACTTGCAAAGATGCAGCTCCATGGAATTGCCCAGCCAGTCACAGCAGTAGCTCTGGCCACTGCTTCTCTGCAAACGGAAAAGGATAATTGAGCCCCAAGACATTCTGGGACTCCAAAGTCTTTCTTAAAATGTTTAGAGCAAGTATAGCTCTTACCTTTATTACCGAATTTGAATCTTCTTTTATTTCTAGACTGTACAGTCTGATGCATGATTTTTTATAAATATTTCATACTCTTGTGAATTTGGATCTTTTTACTTTGAGCATATATTTTAGAATATGTGTATGTTAAAGGATCTCCACAATGTCTGCAGCGTGAAGGCAGGTTCATTGTGGAATAGTTTAACAGTCAGGAAAGCTAAACTGGTCAGTATTAATGTGTAGCCCTACCAAAAATAGCCAGTAGTATCTGAAAATGAAAAATAAATGAAGTATCTCCAGGAAACAGTCTGGCTTAACTATTTTTGAAAATATAACTGTTTCCCCTCTCTGCTGCTTTAGATGTTGCTTTACATAGAACCAGAAAATGGAGTTTCTCAGCTAAAGCATGTGTGCCTGTTTCATCTAATCAAGCAGAGCTAAAATGTTCATATCAAATAAATTTATATTAATAAATTACTAAACTAAGAGTATCAGGTTATTTATATATTTGCAAGCAAAGGACAGTAAGAAGTTGACTGGCAAAAAGAGCAGTGCTGAAGGAGGAGATCCAGGTTTAAATCTGGCTTATTAACTCAAGCCAATTGTAAGGATTTTCTGTATAGATTATTCATGTCAGACCAAGAATTTAAATTATTTTGAGAGGAATTTAATTCTAATAAACCAGCTGTTACAAAAATTATAAAATGATCTCTGTTTTTCCTGTCAGAGATTTAAAAAACTGAAAAGGTATACCTCAACCCAAAAGTAAAGGTTTGGTTTGGTTTGTTATGGCTTCCTTTTTTTTAAAATTACCCTGTAGTGCCAGTTTATTATGCAAAGCAGCTTATATTCTTGTGTTTCTGATAAAATGAAGACTTTAAATTAGTCAGCAGTACTTTACCTTTCAAGGCATTAGTAAATTACTTGCAAATAGTTTTAAAAAGAAAATTCGACCTCTGTTATAGGCAGTCTTCTCTTTAAGATAATACTTTTCCACTTATTTTTCTTTTCCATATTATATATGTGTATACATATATCTATATATTCAGTTGATCATTTTATAAGCATATATGAAGGCATAAAGATATACAGAAGATTCATTTTGATTCAAATTAAATAATTCCTGCATATATGACGTTCCTTACATAAGCTAACACTAAACAAAAATGGCTAGAAATGTCTTTTTCTTTTCTGTTTTTGTTAAGGTATTAAGCACAAATCATTATATGAGACTGGCAGATAGCTATTAATCCTCTTACAGATTTGAGAAGGTTGATTCTCAAATATTTATGCACCTTCTCCTTCATTGTTTTCTTTAAATCTGTCCCCTTCAAAAGCTTCTTAAGAGCTCAGTTAATGCTTTTAACTTAACTAGGAGAAAAAGGCATGTTAATACAGGCAAGATGGCATTGTTAGCAATTCTGGTAGTGGTTTGGAATGAGTCATAAGAGGCAGGGATCTTAAGGACAAGGAAGAGAGGAGGGATCTTTGATCTCCTTCTCTGGTAATCTTAACACATAATTTTACTACAACATGTTCTCTTAATTCATTTATATTAAGTCCTTTCTGCAGCTGATACCTGAGCAGAGTAAAATTTGTATGTCCATTATTACTTTTTTGAAAGAGAATATGTGAACAAATTATTAGTACAATTTGGGCACTGTGGTTGTAAGAATGTCTGAGTAAAATAACAATATGAAATAATATACAGAAGCTCTAGTGTCAGATAACAAATAGACAGCTAGAAAGGTTTTGCACCATCCTCTTACGGCCTAGGGAGTTGACAAGTTGCTTGTAGTTTAAAAAAAAAAAATAAAGTATACCGTTCTGGTATATCATCAAGAGCTTAAGAATCTTGGCTTTCATATTTAAAATGCTTTTGGGGAGACATATTAAAATTTTAGCCAAGATGACAGACATGTCTCAGTTACATATGTGTGTGTATGTTTTTAAAGCTAGAAACATTAGTTTTAGATCCCTAGAATGAAAATTCTTTTCTCATCTATGCAATTCCCATATGGTTTTTTTAAAATCATATTTTATTCATTTTCTCCCTTTAGCAATTTTCATTTTATTTCTCATAATTTGAACAGAGACAGTTCTCATACATGATCAGATGTTTTTTTTCTTCTTATCATTTATGCATGACATAAAGTAATATGACTAATTTCTCCAGTTGATTCAAGAAACTCATTACTTTGCCTTAAATTATATGTAAAATATTTGTTTTACTTACAGTTGTCAGAAAGCCAGGCAGTTTTTCTTCTTGTATTAAAAGATAACGTATTGTGAAAGAAAATAAAATTCATGCTATTCATTCTTTGCTTTGTTTTTATAAATGAATTTTTCATACAATTTACAGTATATTCAAAGGAAGAAAGAGAAAATTATTGGTCATCATTTGTACCTTAGAAGTACAATAATTTAAGTAAAAGAAATGTTCCTTTTTGTTTTAAAACTTGTTTTCCATGTGAAGTTTTAATTGAGCCAACTTTCATACATATCTCGCTAGCCTAAAGTCTAAATATTTGTGTTGGCATCAGAAAAACCAGTTAGGCAGAATTGCTTTGTGTGGTCGATCTTCAGATAAATTGACTGATCACATTTATTTTTGTATCAGTCTATGTCATTTAATTAGGAAAAATTGTTTAGGTGTTTTCTCCCCTGATTAATGGTGATACTCAAGTATGATACAAAAAGAATTGTACCAAAAAAAAATATTTTTGCAAGGTCTGCCGTTTTCCATATTCCTTTTATGCTACTGCCTTTAAGAAAGAACTAGTATCCTTGAAATAGCACAAAAATGTTTTAAAATTCATAATTGCAAAACAAACCTGTGACTAACTTAATGTCTTCAGATCTAAAGGGTGTAAAAATATTGATACTTCAATATTTCACTTGCTGCCAGGAAAAAAAAAAATTCTCAATCTTTTGTAAATGGGAGGAGGACTTTTGCATACATTTTTACTCTTTAAATAACGACAACGACACTTATACTGTCATAATAACAATTATGTATTTCTTTGTGGTTTTAATTTTTTTTGTAATTTTACATAAAACAGTTATTTTCTATTTTTACGCAGATAAATATTTGTGCATAAAATGTAAAAATAGTAAAATGAGAAAAATAAAACTATTATACAGTATGTTTCTGTGTTGCTTAAAGTTTTTTTTTTCCTGAAAACAAAATTTTAAATCCCCAGGATATTTTGTTGGATAGTAATCTGACAGTCCACTTACACATTGTACATGATTCCCATGCACTTTTTAACTTAAAAGCTGTCAATTTGCGAAGAACATACTTCACTGAACTAAATTTAGTAGGTAAATCTCTTTAAGAAAATGAAATTCCATCTACAAAGCCAAATTGTTTTAGAATAGTAACAGATGAAGTGGTAAGACTGAGTAGCTGTCAGAAGGCAAGCTGATGATTGCTAAATTGTAAACCTTTTGTAAAGCCTTTTTTTTTTTAAAAAAAAACAAAAAATCACCTGTTCATGTTGGCTATCAGCAGGTTGCTTCAGCCAGAATCAGAATATAGAAGAATGGATGGAAGGGGTTAGGAAAGAGTGATTCATGCCTGCCTTTATGGTGAAGCAATGATGAAACTTTGATTGACATGCTTAAATAGAAACTTACGGTTAGAAATAAATTGCTTTAAAAATACACAGTGTAATTGTATCTAGTTTGAATCGATATCAGCCAGGACGCTAGTGAGGTGTATTCTCCCAGAACTGCAGTTTTGTGTGTGTACAGCTTTAGAGTTTAATTTGCAAGCCAAATATGTGTTTAAAATGCTTTTTACTAATAATAAACTGACAGCTTTAGAACATTGCTTTTAAAACTTTCTGTAGTAAAGGACCACTTTCTTATTTCCAATTTGTCACAGACAAACATTTGTAAAATAAAAACTGAATTAGTAGCAGGGAGGGGGAAATGGGAAGTTGCTGTTTAATGGGCATAGAGTTTCAGTTTCGCAAGATGAAAAACTGGAGATGGTTACACAGCTATGAATATGCTTAACAATACCAAACCGTAGTAAAGATGCTTAAGATGGTAAATTTCCTATTGTGTGTATTTTACCACAGTTGAGTTTTTTTTAAAGAATCAATTACAAGAATTTTAAAAATCAGTATTTACCATATTAACAATACAATGGGGGAGGAACATGTTCAACTCAATAGATGCAGAAAAATACACAATTTAACATCCATTCATGATTAAAACTCTCAGCAAACTAGAAGAGAACTTCCTTAACCTGATAAAAAGGTATCTATGGAAAAACCTGTAACAAACATCACATGTTTGTTGCCCCTCACCACTCTGCCTCCCTCCCCACAAGATTTGGGAAACAAATCTGCTTTTATCATTTTTTTTCAGAATTGTATCAGCCTAGCCTGTGAAATAATGTAAGAGAAGTAAAAAGCATACATACTGCAAAAAATAAAACTGCAGAAGACATCAGACATGTTAAACGCCCCCAGGAATAAAAAAAGTTGTGAGAATAACAAGGTAAGGTACAAGGTCAATATGCGAAGTTCAATTTTATTTCTACATGCTAGAAACTAATAAATGGAAATTAACATTTAAAAACCACCATTTGCAATAATATTGACATGAAATAGGGACAAATAGAGCAAAATTTGTGCAAGACCTATCAATGAAAACTATAGAACTTGCAAAGAAATGAAAGAATGTCTAAGTAAGTGGAGATATAACACCATAATTCTGGATTGGAAGACTCAATTTTGGGTTTTCTTACTTTTTTTCTTTTTGAGACAGTCTCACTCTGTCACCCAAGCTGGAGTACAGTAGTGCTATCTCAGCCCACTGCAACCTCCGCCTCCTGGGTTCAAGCGATTACCATGCTTCAGCCTCCCGAATAGCTGGGATTACAGGCGTGTGCCATGATACCTGATTAATTTTTTGTATTTTTAGTAGAGATGGGGGCTTCGCTATGTTGGCCAGGCTGGTCTCGAACTCCTGACGTCAAGTGATCTGCCTGACTCGGCCTCCTGAAGTGCTGGGATTACAGGCGTGAGCCACCATGCCTGGCTTAAGACCCAATTGTGTAAATGTAAATCTTGTAAATGTTAGTTATTCCTAAATTGATCTATAAATTAAATTACAATAAAAATTCTGCCCGTCTTTTTTTGTAGACAAGCTAATTATAAAATTTATGTGTAAATACAAATGACAGAATAGTCACAATATTTTGGAAAAAGAATTAGAGAACTTGCACTGTGCTATATAAAACTTTGCTATATAAAGTTAACAGCAATCAAGAAGTGGTATTTAGGTAAGGATAAACATATAGGTCAATGAACAGACTAGGATCCAGAAATGGACCCACATATATGGCTCATTGATTTTTGACAAAGTTGCCAAGGTAATTCAATAGGGAAACGGTAGTTATTTCAACAAATGTTAGAACAACTGCATCTATTCATGGAGAAAAATGAATGTCAACCCTTGCCTCATACCACACATAAAAATTAACACAACGGATTCTAGACCTAAATATAAAATCTAAAACTTATAAAAAATTTTCATAACCTTGGAGTAGACAAAGATTTCTCAGATATTAAAGAAGCAAAACTAGGCTGGATGTGGTGGCTCCTGCCTGTAAATACAGTGCTTTGGAAGGCTGAGGCAGGAAGATTACTTGAGGCCATGAGTTTTGAGACCAGCCTGGGCAACATAGCAAGACCTCATCTCTACAAAAATATAAAAATTAAAATAAAATTCGCTGGGCATGGTTGTGTACGGCTGTAGTTGTAGCTACTCAGAAGGCTGAGGAGGGAGGATTGCTTGAGCCCAGGTTCAAATTTGAAGTTCAAGTGCAGATCGAGCTTGAGGTTACAGTGAGGTGTGATTCTGCCACTACAGCACTCCAGTCTGGGGGTGACAGAGTGGGACGCTGTCTCTGATAAAAAAACAAGACAGTAAATTGGACTTCATCAAAAATTTTTAAAACACCTGTTCTTTGAAAGACACTATTAAAAGGCAAGGCTGGGTGTAGTGACACACGCCTGTAATTTCAGTGCTATGGGAGGTTGACTGGGGAGGATTGCTTGAACCCAGGAGTTCGAGACCAGCCTGGGCAACCTTGTGAGACCCCCCCTCTCTACGAAAAAAAAATTTTTTTTAATTAGCCAAGTATGGTAGCATGCACCTGTAGTTCTGGCTACTCAGAAGCCTGAGGCAGGAACATTGAGTCTAGGAGCCTGAGGTTATGATGAGCTATGATCACACTAGTGCACTGTAGTCTGGGTGACAGAGCAAGACCCTGTCTCAAAAAAAAAGTAATTAAGTTAAATAAAAGGCAAGGTACAGATTGGGAGAAAATATTTGCAATACACTTATCTTACAAAGGTAAGTAGTGCTGTCTCAGCCCACTGCAACCTCCACCTCTTACAAAGGTAAGATAAGTGTATTTGACCACACTAATTTGCATTATTTTGTCATTAAGCGATGAGCATCAGTTTTAACTGAATGATTATGGCAATGTTACTATCTTACAGAGGTAAGATATTTAATATCAAAAATTTATGAGAAACTCTTTTAACTCACTAAGACAATCAAATAATTTATGGTCAAAGGATTCATACAGACATTTCATAAAAAAAGATATATGTATGGCCAGTAAGCATATGAAAAGCTATTTGGCATTATTAGTTATCAGGAAACATGAAGTCACAATCCAGTACCACTAAAAACGTTACAACTGCTCGAAGTTAGAAGACTCACAATAGCAATTGTTCTCAATGACAAGGACCAAATGAAGTCACGCACATCGCTAGTGGAAATGTAAAATGGCACACTGCTTTGGAAAACTTAAAACACTTCTGTCACGACACAGCAAGTCTAATCCTAGGCATTTTTTTTTTTTTTTTTTTGAGACAGAGTTTCACTCTTGCCACCCAGGCTAGAGTGCAATGGTGCAATCTTGACTCACTGCAACCTCCACCTCCCAGGTTCAAGTGATTCTCCTGCCTCAGCTTCCCAAGTAGCTGGGATTACAGGCACCAGCCACCACATCCGGGTAATTTTTGTATTTTTTAGTAGAGACAGGGTTTTGCCATGTTGGCCGGGGCTAGTCTCGAACTCCGGACTTCAGGTGATCTGCCCGCCTAGGCCTCCCAAGGTGCTGACAATACAGGTATTAGCCATCATGCCCAGCCCAATCCTAGACATTTATTTAAGAGAAATAAAACATGTTCACTGAAAGACTTGTACACGAATGTTTATAACAGCTTTATTCATAACGTCCCCAAACCGTTAACACCACAACTATCCATCAACAGATGACTGAATAAACAAATTATGAATACCCATAGAATAGAAGTATGACTCAGCAATAAAGGGAGTGAACAACTGCCTCATCAACAACTCTGGAAAAGGCAAATCTCATTGTAAGGATAGAAAGCAGTTCATTGGTTGCCTAGGGCTAGGGATAGTGGTTGATTTCCTGGATTCGGCATAAAGAAATTTGGGAGGATGATGAGCATAGCCTATATTACGCTTTGTTGACAATTATCTGTATGAACAGATTTGCCAAAACTCATCTAAATGTATACTTAAAATAGGTGCAAGGGATTATGTAAATTACACCTCAATACGTTTAAAAACTGAATTACTAGAGAAATGAAATTTAAAAGACAAAAATACATAACTATTTTTAAAAAATTATTAGGTTCCACAGGCATAAGATTTCTCTATCAAATTACCAAAATTGTTTTAATGCTTGCACTTATCTCCCTGTAGACTGACAACAAACAGTTCACAGACTGACCATACTGACTTACAACATTTCATCGTCAACTGATGAGCATCCGTTTTAACTAAACGATTATGGCAGTGTTCATGGGATTTGAAACTTTCTCTGTAAACTTTTTTTTTTTTTTTTTTTGAGACCCACAGTCTCACTCTGTCGTCCAGGCTGGAGCACAGTTGATCTTGGCTCACCGCAACCTCTGCCTCCTGAGTTTAAGCAATTCTCCTGCCTCAGCCTCCCCAGTAGCTGGGATTGATTACAGGCCTGCATCACCACGCCCAGCTAATTTTTGTATTTTTAGTAGAGACGGGGTTTCACCATGTTGGCCAGGCTGTTCTCGAACTCCTGAGTTCAAGTGATCTGCCCACC